TATGAACAAAGGAGATTTATTCTGGGGATGGAAGGTTTATCAACAAGACTAAAGAAGAGACCCACATGAACATTACCAATCAATGAGACAAAATAGGTGACACCTAATCATAATATCTTATAATGTAATCATAATAATATGACATCTAATCATAATAAAAATTCTCATAGTTCTAAAAACAGAGAGCAACTTTCTCAATTTGATAAACAATCTTTATAAGAAAATCCTCATCACATCACACTTTACGGTAAATAATTGTATTTCCATTAAGATTAGGAGCAAGGGCCTCCCTGGTGGTACAAGGGGTTAAAGCATAGTACTATCAAGCTATGAGCCACTATGGCATGAGTTCGATCCCCGGCCAGAGAGGTGGCCAATATGGCACAGCAAACACCTCCTGTCTAATTCTCAGCAATGTATTTCAATGAATCTGCCAGTTCTGTTTTCCACTCTGCCTCTCAGTCCCCACACGTCCGGCCTGTACACTAGTTCTTGTATGCATAAGTAAATAAATCTTAAAAAAAAAATTGGGAGCAAGTAAAGAATGCTTACTCTCACCATTTGGATTCAACATAACACTCAAAAGTCTAGCTAGTGCAAAAAGAAAAGCAAGATAATTATTGTACATACAAAATGAAATAAAACTGTACCTATTTCCATATGACATGACTATATATACACAGAAAACCCCAAAGAATCCATGAAAAAAGGACATTTTCTAGAACTAGTCAATGTGTTCAGTAAACAAGATCAACATACAAGTATTAATTGTATTTTTAAGCCACAGTATAAACATAGATACCAAAATTAAATATCAAGACCATTTACAAATGCTAGAAAAATATGTAGGTGTAATTCTCACAAAACATGTATAAGGATTGTATGATTTAAATAAATGCTTTAAATAAATGGAAGGACATACAAATGTTAATGGCTTGAAAGACTCAAAAAGTGATTTTAATTATCCCCATTTTGACATATAATCTTAATAGAATTCTTTTTTTTTAAGATTTATTTATTTATGCATGCAAAAGTAGAGTACAGGCCAGAGGTGCAGAGGGCAGAGGTGAGAGGATTCACCAAAGACAGAGTGGGGAGCAGAACAGGCAGATCAATGAAGTACACTGCTGAGGGGAGCAGCAGGTGGGTCAGGAGAGGTCTGTCGCGCTATGTGGCTCACCCCCAGGCCGGGGATTGAACTGGCACTGAAGTGGCTGTGGCCAGCTTGCAGGGCTTTATCCTTACCCCTTATACCACCAGAGAGGGCTCAGCTTAATAGAACTCTTATCAACTTCTAGCCATATTATTGTCAAATATAAATAAAATTTTTCTAAAAAAAAAATGAAAGTGAAAGTCACTAAAACAATTCTAAAGAATAAAGGGTAAGAAATCTATCTACAAGATTCCAAAATTTATATAACTAGACTCCTCAAGAAGATGTGGTATTGTTAAAGGGCTGGCCATTCAGAATTATGGCATTAGAATAAATAACCCAGACATAATATCACACAATTACCGGCCAACTAATTTTTGACAAGAATGCAAAAACAAAGCAATGGAAGAATATTCTTTTAACAAGGAGTAATAAAGGAATTCCATATCAATTGGCTAAATAATTGAACCTAAAAATACTCTCACTCTTTATATAAAAATTAACCCCAAATTGGATCCTCACTGGTGGTGCAATGGCTTAAACCACAGCACTAAGAAGCTGTCCGCAGCCACTGCAGCATGAACAACATGAGTTCAATCCCTGCACAGGGAGGGTAACCCACATGACATTTCAGTCCTCTCCTGCCTCGCTTGCTGCTCCCCTCGGCAATGTATTTCATTCAATCTGCCTGTTGTGTTCAGTACTCTGTCTCTGTTGAATCCTCTCACCCCTGCCCCCAACCCCATACTCTAGCCTGTACTCAAGTTCATGTATGCATTAATAAATAAATCTTTTTAAAAAATTAACCCAAATCAATGATAAATCTAAATATAAGATGTAAAATTATAAATCTTTAGAAGAAAACATAGGAGGAGATCTTTGGAACCTAAGGTTTTATTGTACACATCATAACATGACACCAAATAAATCTTGGGAAAAAAAGGTAAATAAATTTTATATCATAAAGGTTAAAAAAAAGTACTGGGTAAGTCCTCTTAAGAGTATAAAATGCAAGTCATACACTGGGAAAAATACTTTCGAACTACCTAGCGGTCAAAGGACTCATGTAAAGGCGAATAGTAAAACTCTACAGTGAAATAATAATCAACTGAATTCTCCATTTCTGCTCCAGCATTTAAAGAGCTTAACTCATTACTCAGGTCTGTACAACTAGAAATAATAATAATAATAACAATAAGTTGAAAATCAATTATTTTTCTCAAGTTCACCAAGGAAGTAAAGGTCACAGAGGGAAACACTGCCCCCAAATTGGAACAACACACAGGAATATAGAGAAAATCACAACTTAGCAGGCCAAAAACCCATGTGTATGAATTTCTTCAGATACCAATGTCAGGGTAGGAAATCCTGAATTGTTACTTACTAGCTGCTAGAGCCTCAGTCTAGACAAGTTTGAGAGTTAAAAATTCCAGGGGACCCAGTCTGGGGAGCTCTCCCTTTGGAGCTAAAGAAATTATCACTGGGAGGACTGGAGGAAAATAACCCCAAACTTCTGACAGGACTAAGTGGAAATAAGACCATAGCATTTGGTTTGTACTAAATGCTACCTCAGATGAATACTAACCTCAGATGAAATTACTTACCAATGCCTGTCTTTACTAAAACCTAATCAAAGTGGCAGAAGGGAAAAACTAACTCCAGCCCACAGTCTTTGAGGTGGAAGAAAGAAAATGCTCAATTTCAGCCCTTATCAAACTTCTGTATCACATAAAGATGTGAGGGAGTAGACTTGTGGAGGACACAGCACAGGGATAAGTTCCCTGAGAAATAATCATATGATAGTAAAACACTTTCCCTTTCCATTTTATGGCTACCTATATGATAACCAGGGAATACTGATAAAGAAAGTCACATCAAAGTGTATTGTGTTTCTGTGTAACCACAGAGAGAATTGGGGAAACATAAAAAAGGACACAAGGAAAAAATAACAATAATAAAGAAAATAACAGGCAACTATAAATCAGAGACATCCTCTAAGGAAGAAGAGGTAGAGAAATCAGAACAAGGGCTAGAAGAACACAAGGAAAAATGGTGATGGTTCATGTGTGAATTGGTGGGAATTTTATGGGGCATTCACCAGAGGAGAAAACATGCTCTGCAGCAAAATGAACAGCGATGTAAAACACACACACACATGCTATATGTATATGCACATATATATCATAAAGCCTACCAAAGGAAATTTATTCTCTCACACATATGGTTATAATAAGTAATACAACACAATTTAAATCCTAGTTAGACAATCATTAAAACCCACACTTACAGTTACTTATTTCAGTTTGTTTTGTATAGCACATCATATCCAATTTTCAAGATTTATTTCCTAGCATGCACTACAGTTCTTGCCAGCATCTGTTCTTTAATTTTGTTTATGAGTTTCATAATCATTGCTTTCATTTTTCAAATTGTAAAATAGGGTGTCTCACTATATTTTTCCCTGGACAACATATTATAAATAGTGAATCATAATATCTATAATTTAGGCTATAATTTAGGAATTCTTTCACAATATAATGAAATTTTATGAAGAAATTTTAACGGTAATCTTTGTATCTACCTATAATTGTCTTCCTTCCAGATCTTTACTTATTTGACAAGTATTGAGATCTGCCAAATATTTAGCATAAGTTCAAGGAGCTAAGAGTAAAGACTAAAGAGGAGTCTCCCTTAAGCTGCAGGTCACAGTCTGGTGGGAAAAGGGAGGACAGAAGCAAAGATAAAAAAATATACATGCCAAGAAGTAATACATGCAAGGGAAAACACAGAGGCGTTGGGTCACTCAGGAAGACCTCTGAAATGAGGTTCACTTTGTTCCCTTGTCAACTCCAAAATGACTTGGCCATTTTCTTGCTCAGTGCAGCACCTCTGAATTTTGTCAGTCCTTCTGCAACTATTTGAAATGCTTCTGTTCCCCTTGAGAGTTACTGGATTCAGAATCAAATTTTGTATAAATCCTTAATAAAATCATACAGTCTGAGCCTCCTGCACTCATATATGAAACAATTTTTTAGAAAGAAAAAAAACCTTGCGTCAGAGATTAAGTCTATAAAAAGTAGAGGATATTACTAAATAGGACCTCTAAAACTGATAAAACCTACATTGGTCTGACAGGAGTGCCCAGATCCCAATGTTCTCAATCCTCACACATGTGGGTGTCTTTAAGTTGCTAAAATTCACTGACCCGTGCCCAGGAATCAGTACTTTTTTCAGAGCTCCCCAGGCCAGTCCAACACGCAGTCAGGTGAACAAGGAACTGGGGTCATGAACATGTCTGCTCCAAGCACTGAAGTATCTGCCCCACAGCCACACTGGAATGACAATTCCCAAGCTCTAGTTGCAACTATTTGCTCCCCACAGTAAAGAGCTTACTGTTACACAAGTCCTGTTTGACGACTGAGCTATGTCATTGCATGCTCTCAGCACATCTCTCACGAAGGACACACCTTAGTATCTGCTGAGGACACAGATGTAGGGCAAGGTCTCTGTTGCGTTTTTAACTCTTTCATGTCTCTGTCATACATGCTTCATGACAGAGCACGAGGCACATAATGCTGCCCAGGAACCAGTGAACCTGCCACTTTTAATAGGAACCACAAACAAGACTTAAGGCTTAGCAGAGACTTCCAAGCAGGGTTTTCTTCTTCTTTCTGAGATTAACACCAGCAGAAAGTAAAAGAATCAAAGCTTTTCTCTCATATCCCTGAGAGAGAACCAGGCTGGTATATAAGTGCCACCTGACAGTGGATAGGGCACCCAGATCCCACCCAGTCAGCAAAGCACAACACTTCCGAGTGTCTCCTGCAGGGAAGGCAGTGGAACTTACAAAGAACGGAATCAGGCCTGCTGCCTTGTCTCTCTCCAGGGCCTCTCGCAGCGCAGATGCACGCAAGGCAAAGTTGCCATCTGAAGGGATGGCTTTTAGTTTCACTCCACCAATTAGTCCAGCTCTTTCCACTGAGGAGTGTGCCTGGAAAGGATGAGCAGTTAGATTGGCAAGGCTGTTCCACACAGTTGCTCAAAGAGATACTCCCATTGCTTTAAGCTCAGTAAATAGGTGCTCAGAAAATTCTGTCTTGAAGAAAGATGCCAACAAGTCACCATCATTGGGTAGCAGCGCTATCCTCTCTCAGGGACCCCAGAGAGTCAACTCCTTGAGGTTGCTACCCTCTGCCCTTCAGTCTCCACCATCAATGTCTATTGCTTTACCCTATTATGAGGCCTCGCCCTTCTCCTGCTGGTCTACTTTTGAGGCCGGGAGGACCCAGAAGGAAGTGCAGGCTTGGAGCCCTATACAGACTCTGGCTCTAAATCTTCCTATGACCCTAGTAGTGAACACTGTGGTTTCATGTGGACAATGAGGAAAGAGCAAAGTTGTGAAAATGATTAATAATGCAATAGCACCCAAATGTGATGCGTGGCATAGAAGGCACAATATGCCACTCTCCTCACTCTTTTCATTTGAGGTTCTAAAATCACCTGTGAATCTTATGACAACTCTGAAAAGTTGTTCTTTTCATGATCTTTGTGCACTGTGTTCTAACTTCAGATGAGGAGGGAAAGGATAGGTTAAAGCATTTGATTATTTATGTAACTAAGGCTATGGCCTGTGTTTCATGGGTTAATATGGTCTAAATGTAGATCTGACTCAGGATGAACAGCTGGAGGTGAGGCGTCTAAAGGGGAATGATAGTGGCACTGGACAGTTCTGAGCAGTGACAACGGAGTTGCCATGGAAACCATTGGCTTTAGCTTGTCCGTGAGAGATGATGTTCTGCATGCACCCCTGCCCCCCAAAGTAGATACCATTGGTGTCCCTCCCTGGCCTCCTTCGTACATCCACCCCAAACTGCAGTGGACACTGGCTGGTCACAGCTCTTGGCTAAACCTTCTTAGGAGAGAAGCTCTTTTCTTCCAGAGCTGTTCTGCTTCCCACCCATGGGATGCCTGTGCAGAGGCAGGAAAGGCTTGCTCCCCATCTCAAGGGGGCTTCCTGTGCCAGGGTAACCTCTTCCGGTCACAGCTGTCTACTTTTCCAGAGGCCACAGCTTTGCTTGTTCTTCGCCTGCCCTGCCTGCTTTCCTAGCTCCTGCAGTTTCCCCCAAGAGTATTTCCCAATAAGCAGTAAATACCTATCACACTGCATCCAGCCCTGCACCCCAGAATCTGCTAGGTGCCACAGGAGAATTAGACTCTGGACCCCATAGCCACCACCGCGTGTAATGATGTCATCTAACACCTGTGTTCCTAGAAGGGTAGTAGCGCACACCCGTGGGAGAACTGGGAAAACACCATGGCTCACTTCCGGCTACATTCCCTCACAGAAACCCCTTAGGGAAAGCAGGCAGGGCAGGCGAAGACTGCTAACCCCTTAGCATTCATAGCATCTTTTGCTCAACATGTATTTACTGAGTACACAGGTGCATTTTTAAAAGTTTCTTCATATCATCCTAAAAAACAAAGAAAATGTAAACACAAATCATTTTCTTCATGTGAATGTGAATGCATATAATGCATAGAGTTAGGATACAATAAGCATCTTTTGATTAAGCTCTGAAATAAGGGTATTATATTTATTTCAGGCTGTATATATTTATGAACTAGAACAAAACTGTCACAGTTGAAATGTCTGCCGTAAGAAAGTCATTAAAGTTAAATATGTTAGCAATGTTAAATCAGCTATTCATTGTCTCTTTTTTACCCCTGATCCCTTACGCTCCTGCTATGAGTGAAACCATCCAGCATTCTTTGTAAATTTCGTATTTTTGAATAATGTCACTGAGCTTGTTTTCTCCCTCAAGGAGTTAACTTTCCTCCTGCTGCTCAATTCTCTTTCCTGCTGTCCCTTCTTACACAATTCTGACTGTTTTTGTTGAGGTTTTCTTTCATGGGTAGGCCAAGGAACTCCTTCCCAGTGCTTCTATATGCAGACTTCTGTAAACCCAACAAAGCACCTTCATCCTGTGTCCTGCCACTAGCTGGCTGAGCAGCAACACTCAGGGGTGGAGCTTTTCCCCCAATGACCATAAAAGAACAGCTCAGAGAAGCCATGTGATTTGATTGAGTTCACAGTACTTAAACTAGCAGCAGGTGGCTGCCCCTACTCTGACATCCCACTGTGGAACTCTGGAGGAGCCTGAGGGCTTCAGTGGAAGCAGTGCAGGGGCACAGCCACAGAGCCCATCCTGGTGGTCTCCAGGCACAGCTGTTTTCCTTTCAGTTTCTCCTACATTTCCCCGGGAACCCACATTTTGTCCTAATACAGCTCTCTGTCAAAGTGATACCTGAGGAAATGTTCTTGCATTGGAAATGATACCGTTTTGTTTGGTTTTGCTGGCATAAAACAAAGCAGAGGGAGGTTTGGCGGGTCATCAGAACAGACCCACAGGTTTCTCGCTCACTTGGTCTGATGCGTAGGCCACCAGCTTCTCCATGACGGCAGCTTGGGTCAGCCCTGGGGATGTGGCCTGCAGCCGGCGTGTTACTTTGGTTCGAGCTGCCAGCAGGGCCACGAGGGTGGCTTCACTGGCACTTCCCTAAATCAAAGAAAAGGCTGAAATGAGCTTCAAACACTACACAGTAATCAGTGTCTTGACTGACTGGGTGTCCAGATTTTTTTTTAAGATTTATTTATTCATGTGGAACTGGGGGTCAGAGATGCAGAAGGTGAGAGTATTCACCAGAGACAGAATGGCGAGCAAAACAGGCAGATTGACAAAGTACACTGCTGAGGGGATCAGTGGGCGGGTCAGGAGAGGTCTGCCACGCTATGTGGATCTCCTCCAGGGCAGGCGGGAATCGAACTCATGGGGAAGTGGCTTAAGCCTTTTAGTGCTGTGCTTTAACCCGCTGTGCCACCAGGGAGGGCCCCAGATTTTTCTTAAAAGATGAATCTGAAACTGCAAAATCCATTCTCCTTTGCACAGAAAACATCTGAACACCTGTGATGCCACTTTAGCTCTTGTTAGTATTTCAACATTTCACCGAGTACATAGTGATGCCCTTTTGGCGAGCAATTCCCATTCTTTAGGAGGTGTTATGCCATGTACACCAGAGGGGAGAGGGGCCCAGGAAGCAGCGGCCAAGTTCAGCCCTGTAAGTCTGCAGACAGAAAAACTTTATTTGTGCATGAAGTGTGATGCACTTTTCTTGAGACTTGAAGTGTTTCTTTATCACTAATTTTAGATTCTCCAGTTCACATGGTGAAGTCCTCGCCCTCAGTACCCTAGAATGTGACCACATTTGGAGGTGAGAACTTTAAACGACCACTAAGTTAAAATAAGGTCACAAGAGTAAGCCTTAATTCAATCTGACTGGTATCCTTGTAGGAAAAGGAAATTCAGACACCAGGTGAGGCATGTGAGGACACAGGGAGAAAGTGACAGGCTACAGGCCGAGGAGAGAGTACTCAGTGGAAATTAATACTGCCCACTTCTTGATCTTCCATCCTCCAGAACTGTGGGAAAAAAATTCCTGTTTTTTAAGCCCCTCAACTCTGCAGTATTTTGTTATAGCATCAAATTAATGTCTAATGTGAAAGACGTATTTTGACAAAACAGTGAAGAATGATACAAAACTCACTTTTCTGACTGTGGGAGTGGGCGAGTGATAACTCAATGATAGCCACGTTACTGGGGCTCTGTGGCACACGTCGCAGGGCTTGACTGGCTTTGCCAAGGGCCTGTCATCTGTGGTAGTACCTGGAGGCTGAGTGGCAGTGGTAGTTTCTCACCCAGTTGCCCCAGTGTTCAGGTAGCAGCCATAGAGCACTGCTCTAAAAGCAGCAGTGGTTGGCAGGATCTCTTGCCTACCAGCACAGCATGCTACTTGGGGCACCCCCTCCCCCACTGAAAAGCAGCCCCAAAGGTCTCGCAGGCCTCCCTGCAGCAGGAAGCACCTATTTGGTGCCAGATCATAGAAAGGACCAGTAAGGTCCAAGCCCAGCTCATTAGTTAATTATTCAGATCAAAATATAAGAATGAGCCACTCAGGATTGAAAACAGTCCAATCAGGCTTGTAAACTGGGGGGACACTGAAAGAGTTTTTAAAGCAGGGTAAGAGCCATCTTAGGAATTCTATTCTTGGCCTTCAAAGCAGAAAAAGTATCAGCAGCCATCCTTTGAAGAAAGACAGGCAGCTGAAGATTTTTTCAAAGACCCAGCTGTGGCACCAGTCTCTACTGCTGTTCTGACATCACCTGGAAGGGCACCACAAGTCTTGCGTTAGTGTCCCCAACAGCTGTGTGTTGTTGGTATGGCACAAAGAGCTGTGAACACTAGTATCTTTGATACCACCTGCTGATGACTGGCACTACTGGCCAGACATCAGTGCTGTCTGGCACTGATGACAGCTAATGGGCACTCTGTGTCTGGTCACCTTTCAAAGCCGTCCACCTGTTCTGAGCATCGGCTTCATCTCCCAGGCCTGTTGCTTCCATTGCTCTCTGGTCCAGCATCCAATACTGTCCAGCCTGGTCTTCAGAGTGTTGCTATGGGCTGCTGCAGTGTTATCTCAGTGGACACACATGTAGTCACCTCCAGTTGCCACCATGAGTTGGATCTTAGCCCACTGGTTACTGGTGTGCCATGAGCTTCAGGCCCTCATTGTCAGGCAGCACCATTTGCATGATCTATATCTCTAATGCATGAATTCAAATATACATTTAATCCATCTTCTTAATTCAACTTCTAAAGTGAGTTTTACATTTTCTTCAGTTTTTAACTGAACTTAACTTTCAGTTAATGTCAACTTAACATTAACAATGACGTTAGACATGGTTAGGGGACATGATTAGCAGAATTAAGCCAGCCATTTTATGGATCCAAGTTCCCTGTCAGCAAACACTGGTCTTATTCTCTACGTGCCCTCATATTTTGTGTCATGAATCCATCATGGCCTCATTCATTTCTCACTGGAAATAGAACAGAAAAAGCTTCTGAAAAGATGCAGCTCTTGATGATGGGAGTCCTCCTTCTCATCCAAGACTCAACATGAGGTTGCAACTCTCTTTCAAAATGCACCCTCTGTCTTGAGGAATTGGCGTTCACATCACCCCTAAAATGTTCATTTTCCTCTGATTTACATTTTAATGAAAGGCTTTCAAACACCATGCAGTTAACTGTGAGTTTTCCTTTGGACGCTAGCCAGAAGCTGTGAAAAAAAACTCCTCTACTTCAAGGGAGCAAAACATGATTAAAAAAAAAATCCCACAAATTGTCTTTGGAGCAATCAAAACTCTGTGCTTGTTGTCTAAAGGCAGCCTGCAGATTGACTGAGTTGAGCATGAAGATTAGGGGGTTTTCTGATCCTTTGGAAGTAGACCTATGATGGGGGCTGGAGGGATGTGTGGGCCCCTGAGCTGAGAGCAGTAATGACACCTTTACTTTATTGATCAGGTGAAGGTAACCACGGTGAGTCTGCTAAAAGGCAGAAGGAAACATGGCACGACTGATGCTATGAACAGAATTGTCCTTTTATCCTCTGTGCTTTCCAGGGTTACCCCCCACACAGTGAGAAACTGATTTTTTTTTCCCATGAGGGATTTCAGAACCAATTAAGAGGCCACTTTTTTGCAGCCCTGTTTGTCCAGCTCAAAGGCCGCTTGACTCAGATGTCCATCAATCACAGGCTGACAACCAGCAGCTGTGATTATGGCTTTGAGGGACTCAGTGTCCCTTAATACTTGGTTCTCTTGACTGTCACTAAGCTCATGTGCTCTCTGGGACCTTGAAAATTACAGTGGCCTTGTCACTGGGCAGACAAGGCTTCCTGTTGTGAATACAGACATGCTGCCTACTTTCCACCAGCAAATAAGTGATTTGATTCCAAGCATTGTGGTGAAGCACGACTGAAAGATGCCAGGATTATTCCCAGCAATATGCTGGTCTTCCATTGTCTCTGGCAGATGGGATTGTCTTAAAGGAAAAGATCATTGAAAGATATAACCCATGATTTATGTGCACCTCTGGCCACTCTATCCACAGCCAGTGGTCATTTCTTACTTGTCCTAACTTGTTATCTAACTAACTGGTGTTCTTAGGCATGACGAAAGATCTTTCAAGACTTCAGTTTCCTCATCTATGAAAAAGATTGTCTTTATGCAATTTTATCCTTATAAATATTTGGAGATTGTAAAATGATAACATTAAGCAATAAATAAGCTAACACTTAGCTTAGTTCAGAGTAGGTGTTCCCTAAAATGTTGCTATTATTAGAAAAGATATACCTTAGATTACATAGAGTATCTGTAAGAATTTTGAGAAGAATCAAATTAGAGAAATCACTTTGGGCTGTTGAAAAGAATTAAACATGAAATTCAGTTCATGTTTCAGTTATAAGATTAAAAGACTCATAAACATGTATTTCTGTTTTATTTTGATCTTTGGTGGATAATGAATGGTGAATATGGGAGAACCACAGAGAGAAGCCGAAAATGTAGGAAGATAGTTCATGTCAAGTCATGATAGGATGTCCTCTGAAATATTACATGTGCAAGTGAAAAATTTTATACCACATAAATATCTCACATAGCATTTATCTGAATTGTGACATACTGTGGAAAATCAGGGAATATAGTCTCAAAAAAGATCAAGACAATGGGAAATGTTAATAAAATCACAAGCAAAATCCCATTTGTAGAATTTGGATGGCATTATCCCAATTTTTTCAGCATATACACACAACACAGGCATGACATAGCATTGAGAGGAAGCATTCCAAAAAAGTTCTTGATATTTTTCTAATTGATGTTCAGTTTTCCGTAATGGTGAGAAAGCATTTGTTAAGCTGAATTAAATTTACATCGAGAGCAGTAAATTAGCACTGTGAGAAATGGAGATAATGTGCAAAAAAAAAAATGAGAAATTCGGGCCCTCCCTGGTGGCGCAGCAGGTTAGAGCACAGCACTGAGAGGCTGAAGCTACTTCTGCATGAGTTCAATCCCCGCCTGCCCCAGAGGTGATCCACATGGTGCTACAGACCTCTCCTGACCTGCCCCCTGCTCCCCTCAGCAGTGTACTTCAATTATCTGCCTGTTCTGCTCCCCACTGTCTCGGATGAATCTTCTCACTGCCCCTGCTTGTACCCCAGTTCTGTGTGCATAAATAAATAAATCCTAAAAAAAAAAAAAAGTAGAGAATCTTTCTTATCTCTGTTCAGAGGGAGATGTGACAATAAAGGAATAGTAAGGAAAATGGAATTACTGCTGGTTTTGAAGATGGAGGAGGAAAGGCATTATATCTCAGGAAGTTGGGAAGCTTCTAGAAATTAGAAAGGCAAAGAACTCATCTCAGCCTCCAAGATTGACCTTATTATTAGCATGGGAAGACTTCTGACCTTCCAAGCTGAGATAAATATTTGTGTTGTGTTGTGTGTCACTAAAAATGTGATAAAGGTAGTCATTTGTCACAACAGCACAATTCATCTGGGAGGCATTCCTAGGCTCAGAAATTGGAGCTTACTTCCTACTTTATAGTTTGACTATACCAGTCAGGTGATGTCATACAAAGGCAGCCAGGCCTCGGTGTTCTCACCAGCTGAAAAGGCAGGTTAGTAACTACCTTCACTAGCTCTTAAAACCTTCAGGATAACAATATCTGAGAAAGGAAATCTTTCTCCCTAAAGTTAACCAAGCTGTCCCAGCACTACTCTTATAAATTTAACTCTAGAAAACCAGTGTCAGGAAGGGTGGTGGGCTTGGTAAAGTCCATCTTCTGTGCTAGGAGATTTTTAAAAAGTACAGACCTTACTTCTTCCTTATATTTGTCCTGCAGACCCAGGTGGACAGATATTCCACTGTGACTGTCATTTGCAGCACGTGGCCACTCTCACGGGCACATGGCAAATGAACAAATGAATAGAGTGAATTAAGTTGTAAAAAAGAGGTATAAACCTTTGGTAAATTACTGGTGTCCTGGATGTAGTGTCATCCTAGGGTCATCGAAGATAAGGATATGCACAGACTGGGCTCAGGCTTGGCTCAAGAACTTCCCAGCTTGAGGTGAGCAAGTCACCTCACTGCTCTGTGCTTCAGTTTCCTCAGCATATAATAAGGGTGTTAAAGTGGCCCCTACTCCATAGTGGTTTTTTTTTTTTTTTAAAGATTTATTTATTTGTGCATACAGAACTGGGGTATAGGCCAGAAACTCAGGGGTGGCGAGAGGCTTCACCAGAGACAGAGTGGGGAGCAGAACAGGTAGATCAACGAAGTACACTGATGAGGGGAGCAGCGGGCGGGTCAGGAGAGGTCTGCCGCACCATGTGGTCACCTCTGGGGCAGGCAGGAATCAAACTCATGCGGACGTGGCTTCAGCTTCCCAGTGCTGTGCTTTAACCCGCTGCGCCACCAGGGAGGGCCCATAGTGTTGTTGTAATAACTAAATGAGTTAATGCTTGGAAAGTACAGAGGCATGGTGAAAGGCAACAGAGACACCACAGATGTCAGTTGCTTTATTCCTGCCTACTGGAAAGTGAAAGCAGGAGTCTCTTGTTATTAGGAGCCTGGGGGAAATAAGTAGGAGACAGCACTGGACTCCCAACCCAGATCCTACTGAGCAGTTTTTTGAATAGTTCAACTTTCTTATTTGTCAGAAGAAATACGAGGTCTCTGCCCACCTGCTGTTGGGGAAACCACCCATCTCAGAAAGCTGGGCACTGCCCTCCCCTGCCTTACCTGGATCACCCCGCCCCCCTCTCCCGACTTCCCAGCCAAGAAGGCCTCTGGCAGCTGCAGCATCTCTCCAAGCCAGTCCATCATCACTGTTTCCAGCTCTGTGCAGGCTGGGCTCGCAGCCTGTGGTAGGAGGGAGAACAAGAATCAGCCACAGTCCAGCTGCCTTCAGCTTCCTGTGCACATGCGATAAAGGCATGTGACAGAGGGGAAACCTGTATTATTTCTGTGTTGCATATTTTATCAATTTAACTAAAGGTTTTAAACATTTTCAAGTGGTGGAAATGAATGTGGTAACATGCTTCCCTGTGGCAGAGACCCAGAGGGCAACAGCAGACACTGGACTTATGGACTGCCGAGGGGCCACTCAAGGTGGACATGGAGCTGTGGGCTTGGCGGACAGATCCCTCTTCCTCCCCACACTCAGAAAATGGAGGGAGTCACACAGCTTGGAAGGCTGATGTACACAGAAGTGTTCCATCTATTATATGTGAGGGTTGTACAACCCCATTCGTGATCTCAAGTTCTCCACCTTAGACTTGAGTCCATGGAAATGCCATTCTGCTCCCTGCCCTACATCTTAATTATCTAGAGTCTGGTCATGGAGGAAGAGGCCAGGTCTTGCAGAACTTTAGCCTTGGGGATAGCAGGGCACCCCAAGTGAAATCAGACTATCCTCAGAAAGAACAGACACACTATGATAAATGCCAAGTCACCAGCACAACAGAATAGCTCTGAATGAGCAAAGTTGAATGAGAGCTGCTGTAATATATATATATATATAAAGCAAAGTTGAATGAGAGCTGCTGTTTTATATATATATAAAATGAAAGGAAATGTCCTTCAGCAAGAGGTGAAGTCAGCAGAAACAAAGGACGGTCACCAAGGCTACACTGGCCACGCTCACGCTGCTGCCCCTATGGGGAGGGATGCCTGACAGAGGAGCAGCTCAGTCTAAAGAGCAAGCGAGGACAAGTACAGTGACCAGCTGTGCATTCATTTACAGCAGCCCCCCGAGGGACCTCAGCTCTTTTCAGCATAAGTCAGTACCCACACGCCCATTTAGCGTCAAGACACAGGCAAGTGGCCACTCTAAACCCAAAAGCCAAAGGCAAATCCTGGCCATTGCAGAATTCCCCACAATGTGAGTGCCTTTGGGTTCTTGACAAAGTAGGTGGGCAACTTGACTTCTCACCACTCCGCATTTGAGGTGACAGTCTTTCTGGTGCTGTGTCTAGGCCACAGAGCAGAGCTGGTCCTGCCTGCCTTTCTGAGCATGGAATTTTCTAGGTATTTTCTCTGCAAATAAGGTGGGGCTGGGACGGGTGGCATGGAGGCTGGAGCTGGCCTCATTTCTAGCACCCAGACCTTCTGATGGACTGAGGCGTCTCCCAGAACAGTCTGCCTAGAGTGCTGGAATGGGGCATAGGCATTTCTCAAAGAACAGATTGTATAGAAATGCCCTGATCTGTTTGTAGAAATGCAGATTCCCAAGTTTGAGCAGAAACTACAGGGCGTCAACTAATTTTACTTCTTACCAAGTACTTCTGATAAAATGCTATTGTGCAAAATTAGCTTTTGGTTGTTGGCATATTTCCAGGAAGGACACTATTTCTCTTTATTTCAAATATCTATTCCCTCAAGGGGTACCCTCTTCAGGGATGAATCCTACTTCATTTTCATAGTTGGCAGTGCCTTGAGAACTGATGCCATCTTCTTACCACCTGTACCACCCCGACCAGGATTGCCCAGTGCTCACCCAGGAGAAGCCGATGCAGCCGATGGCCCCACACAGCATGTCTGCGAGCATAGCTGGGTACGAGCTGGCTGTGGGAAAGTAGGCGAAGAAGTAGGGGCTGTGCCAGTGTGTCACCTGCAGAGAGGGACAGTTACTAGGTGTGCGGGGGATGCCAGCCCATGGGCAGAAGCTCCAACTCCCCCTGCTCATAGTTAATGATGCTTCAAAAAACAACCTCCTACATGTGCTAGCTAGTGAAGGAGCTGCACCTGAAGCCAACCTCTGCACTAGAACACTGCTTTTCCTAAAACTGCTGCACATATATAAAATCTGTATTAAGGGAAAAAAGAAAAAGACCTTATTCTGAGATTTCCCCAGCTGGTCTCACTGCCACCTCCCCCTAAACAATCCATTCTTCCCACCCTCTGTGCTCCGTCATTCTCCAGAGAAAGCAGGGGTGTGTGACCCAATTTCTGCTTCTTTATTTTTTTCTGATCACTGACACACCATGATCTAAGAACAGAATAATGCCCTAAAGATACTCCCTCCCCCTCAGCAGAGAAGAGCATGTCCCAGGATTGTTACTTGTCTCCATTCCAGGTTGTGACCACTGTACCAAAGCCTAGAGACATGAACGGCTCTCTGTCTCTCCTAACCGCATAATTCCCTCCTGCTCATAACTTGCTAGATGTTGGAGTGTCCCTGTTAAGCAGTGTAGCGGCTGGGACTCCTGGGCTGCCTCAGATCATTGATTGCAGCTCTCTGAGCTCCGGCTTCCATCAGGTGAAACTAAGGAAAGTGTCTTGGTGTATCTTACGGCACTAAGGTATCAGGCCTGTCTCAGAAGCCTTCAGGACTGTGAGGGAGAGTGAACCTATGAGTACCCAACATCCTGTTTGAACAGGTGGACTAAATGTGAACTGGCTGGTTCTGGCTAACATCCTGTTTAAACAACTTGGCCCATCTGACTAACCAAAGGCGCCATGCCAGAAAAAAGGTGCTACATCCTGACTTACGGTTGTTTTACAATTCCCTGGTGGTCTCACATGTGCAGTTAGCGAAATTCCTGACCTCGGGTGACCAGGGTCTCATTTGCATGCTTTTGTGAATAACCATGTGGAGACTTCAGATGCGAATGAGATGGGCAACGCATGAAGCATGTAGGTCTTCTGCCCATGTTCCAATAAAGCCAGGCTCATAACTTGCTACAACAATGTTCCCCTCTACTGTGCCCTGGTGAAATGACTCCTTAAAACCCTTTACCAACTTGTCTTGGAGAGTGAGGCTAGAAATTTCCTCTTCCAGTGCTGTCTCCCTTGAGCACAAGCTTAAGAAATCCCTGTGTGGGTGTAATTGGTCCTCTTTGTTAAATAATTTTACAAAGGGCTAGAACCTCTGAAAGAAACCCTAGGTTGGTAACAGCTGTGGAGAAGTTCTGTCAATGTTAGTCACTCTCACAGAAACACAAACATTTTTCTCCCTTGATAAAATAAGTTACTAACAGTCCATTGTCCAAGACATAGCATGGGACAACCCCAGATTATGAAATCAGCCAACCAGAAGTCCATTCACCAGGATCTATCTGGTCCTGGGGACTGCAGGCTTTGTCCCACTGCCACCACGACCAGTCCATCTGTTTGGGCTGAGGGCAGGTAAGGTCCTTGGAAGGATGGGAAGTCAATATGGATGTTAGTGGTGAACTGGAGTGGAGGGGTACACAAATATTAGAGGCTCAGCGAGGATAAAGCAATTCAGTGTGGGTGTGAGATGTGTGGCCTAGGATAGAGCAGAAGAGAGGGATCTCTGTGGAGGCACAGGGCAGGGAGACAGGCAAAATTTGGAGGCTCAGGCAGAGAGATAGGTGGAGGCAGGGAGGCTGTGAGGAACAACAAGTGTGTGTGGGTCACAGGACATTTAAGAACCCAGAAAATGTTTTATATTAGAAGAAAAAGTAAACTTTCAGGTTAAAGAAAATAATTAAAATATTAATATATGCATTTTTATTGCAATGCATTCATAAAGCATGCTTTTCCATATGTCTATGCAGGCTGTGAAAATGTGGCCTTCTCCTTCAGGCACCAGGGGCCCTTCATTGTGCCCTCGCCCCACTCAACTGACATCGAAGAAGAGACAGAAATTCCTGATCAGGAATTTTTTTTTTCTATGTTTTTGCTTTTTTTCTCAACTAACATGCAACACTGAGGTAAAAGACCCTGCATTTACTCTGCACAGCCCAAGAGCTTATCTGTTTCCTGAGATCTCAGTTCCCACCCTAAGGCACTCCCTAAACCTGTACACAGCCTGCTGTGCTCTGGGCCTAACTCAGCATGTACCAAGCACTGCCTGGAGTGTGCCCTTTCCCTCTCCCCCATGCCAATTCGATTGTACCTCCAATGTGGTGGTATTTGGAGGTGGGAAGTGACTGTAGTTAGCTGAAAACATGAGGGTGGGGAAGGGCGCACACAGGAGTACACAGAGAGAAGTCAGTACAAGAATCCTCACAGCAACTCAGGCTGCAAGCACCTGATCTTCGACTTCCAGGCTCTAAGTGTGAGAAGTAAATGTGTGTTGTCTAGGCCATGGGCCTGTGGTATTTTGCATGGCAGCCAGAGCAGGTTGGACACTCCCTTGGCCTGACATTTAACCACACCACTGCCTAGAGGGGTTTAATCCTGAGCCATTTAGTGTGTTTGTACAACCTTTAAGCGAACTGGAATCTTCACTGCTTCCCTCACAACATAAATGTCAAGGGAAATGTGGGCATTGAGCTTCAGAAAGGCTTTTGGTATAGGGGAACCTACCGGTGGGGCACAGAGTCCCAAAGTCAGGGCTGTGTGACCTGGGCCATCTCAAGGACTTGGCATCCTGTCTAAAAATGAGGATGTGTGACATGAGGACCAAAAATCCTTTCCACTTTTAGATGCTATTTCCTGGCAGGGAAAAATACTACTGTGGAAACAAACTGTAACAAGTTCCCTTCAAATGTTAACTCTCTGCTCCCCTGACTGAAGCACAGAGACCACTGTTCCTGGGTCCTGTTTGTTCCTGTCTTGGTCCCTCCATTCCACATATGCTAGCTGTCACTGACTGTCCACCTTTGTGTTGAGCCCCTGGGCAGCAGCCATAGCACACAGCCCACCAGCCCACAAAATAAAGTATCAATTTATTTCATGCACATGAATCTGTCCTTGGTTAAAAATGAGAATGGCAAGGGTATTATCTTGAGCCTCCAACTTGAAATCATACCTCAGGGTCTCATTTCCTTGAACATCAGGTGTCACATTCCCACTCACATCTGACCCTGGTCCCAGGCAGAGACTTGACAGGGGGTTGTGGGGCATAACACACTCACTGCTCTTGGAGCAGTACCATCCAGGCCGCCAAACCGGCTCTGTTGTTTACAAGCCATGTGACCTCAGGCTGATCAGCTGATCATTCTGGGCCTCAGTTGCCCTCAGCTATAAAATAGAAATGACATGAGTTTCTCTCCAATGTCATCTCTGTAAGGATTAAGTGAAGTAATATAAGTGACTTGCCCATACCCAGTGCTTGCTAATTCATACTACACCTTCCATTTTCTAGTCTTGAATACAGACTTACCCCTGGCATGATTATCTTCTCCACATCATTAATGATATCCTCAAATGTGTCAGGCTCCTGGGGAGCAGTGGAGGGGATTAGGGGGCGCAGGTAGCCTGGCTCCACATCAGGGTACACCTGGCGTCCTTCAATGCCTTCCATGTAGTCAGCCACATAATCCACCATCTCTTTCCCTCTCCTTCGGAATTCACTAGCATTCATGGTGAGTGGGTTTCTTTAGAGGGAGAACTGTCCAGAGAGAGAAAAAGAAATCAATTGGCAAAACACGACAATCTCTGAAACAAGAGTGGGGCAATCCCAACAATTTGCTACAGTTACATTGGCAGTGACTCAAATACCTGGTGACACTCAGATCCCAAGTAAGGGACACTTTCTATCCACATATGGATGGGGTGGAAATGACATTGGACTTGGAGACTATGGGGAAATCTTATATAACTATTATCCTGATATTCAACCAAAGACAACACAAAATCTCTCTCTCTCTTTTTTCCTTGTCCATGACAAAAAGATGGGCTCAAACACATATTTAAGTTTATGGTCTATTCTAGTTTTCATGACAAATGTTGGTCTAAGTCCTCCTTTCCCTTTACTAGCCATGTAAAAGAGACAAGCAGTTTTAACTTTTTGAGCACGTTTCCTCATAGAATTAGAGATACTAATCCTGAAGGTCTAATCATAGGTATATGTAAAGAACTGAGCCCAGAGCCCAGAGGTGAGGGGGAGACAGCATAGCCCCATTATTATTAGTCTTCTTTCTTCCTCTTTGTTCATCTGCCAGGTGAAGACTGAATTAGCCAATATGAAACCATTTCTTCTAGGGGAAATACAGGGTTGGGTTACTGCCAGTCTCTAGTCCTATTTTAGTCAATACATAACTTTACTAATGTGTCTCTTTCTAAAGACATCTTATTTAATATATGTTGGCTCATGAATTTGTACTCATGGTTAATAACACATCATTATTTATGCTTGAATAAAGCTTATTTAGCATATATATTTCCTCCCCAGGGCATACCACAGTCTTCTGGCACCCTACACAGCACTCAGCTTCATATTTGAGGGCCAGGTAACCATTGAACTAACCAAGTATTAGACAAAAATGTGAAGAAAATAGACCACTGGTTGAAAAAATACAAGGCAGTGTTGACTTGTTTGACCTTAGCGGAGAACAAACATGTTAGCTGATTTAAACGTTCATTGCACTACATATGAATATGTTCATGAAAAATTATGAGAACCAATATCATGAATGCTGGTGAGGTTGTAAATAAATTTTGGCAAGTAGGTGATTTTATATACAAGATATATAATAATAAGAAGAATTGACTGTATTTTCAGAGCAGGAAATTTGGACAACAAAAAAAACACTCGTATCACTCTTAAAATTTTGGCACATGTTCTTCCAAAATGTTTCCTATGTTTATAAGAGATATTTCTATGCCAAGCAAGGGATGCATTTCTGAATTCCTGCCATGATTGAAAGCTTCATAATTGAAGAGAATTTTTTATGGGATTAGGTGCTAAAAAGATGATTCAACATCTACTGTAAAGAGCATAGGCCTAATTGGTACAGGTACCTTGATAATTGGCTTCAAGGAATTATTTGCTAAAATTGGACTCAGCATGCCAGAGGGGACCAACCAAGAAATAGGCTCAAAGCAGACCAACTGGCTAATGACCATGAAGGATCTTTGTCAATGAGTGGATTTGACCTTTCCTTCTTTTTCCTGAGCATCCTCTTCAGTATTCTTCCTCCACATCTCCTCTGATACATGACAGTGCCACAGGCATTATATAGAAGACTCCAGGCTTTTCAACACAAGTTATTAGATCGAATCTCCTTTTCATTGTTATTTGTGGGTACTTTTTTCATCTAATGAATGCAGCGGTGAGAGTAGTTAGGCTATGAGATAAGTGTTTAATTTATAGACACAGTGAATCCTAGAATAATTGCATGAGAGAAACCAAAGTGGTTGAAGTTTCCTCACACATTTGTAATTCATAAGCTGACAGCCAAGGAAGGTCCTGTTTATCAGCCAAAATACCAAGGCCAGACTTTCCAAAGTTTCCAAAGTGCAAAGCCACAAAGCCCTATATTTATAAATTCCCTGGCCTGTTGGTTTCAAAATTAATTTTTCATGTGGAGTGACTCTGATTATTGCAAATTTTGTAAATAAAGTGAAATTGATTTTTATTTCAAATTAAAGAATGTCAAATTAACTTTTCAAATTCAGCCAAAACTATTATCAAACTATAGATCTTCTCTGCACCTTGTTTTATTAACTTAGCAATTATAAGAATATTTGATATTTTCCATGTTGATAAATATTTCATCTTGCCTGATTATATTTCAAATGTGATTGTGCTATTTGCACAGTATGCATACTATTACTAAACATTTGGATCATTTTCAATTTTCATCTACATATTACCTGCAGGAAGAGTGGGTATAGCTTAATAGTTAATACTCCAGGATCAAGAGTCAAAGTTCTCCAATCTGATATTTATTAGTTTTACCACCTGGAATTAATTGCTACTATGGTAAGTCTTATTTTCCTTAACTGAAAGCAATTATCATTATTATTTGTGTATTTTAAAAGTACATGGTCACAGCTTGGAACAGAGGCAATATTAACTTTTTTTATAAAACTCTAAAATGTACCTCATATTTACCTTTACACACTTTATTTGCATTTAAATTTTTTTTAAAGGAAGAACATTTCGTGTGGCAATACAATCGCTCAATGTTTTAAAATAATGTGATCATATTCTCTCTCTCTGAAGCATTTTTTTTTATCCAAATTACTCTCTCACAGGTAGGCATAAGGATGTGCATTTTGCCACACAATCACCAACATGGGATTTGAATTGTCATTTTAAGCTTGCCATTCTAATAGGTATTGATGATTATGATTTACTTTGATTAATGAAGTTGAACAATTTCCTCAGGCTTATTTGACATTGGATTTTTTTTTTTACACATTGTTTATTCACTGCATTCTTTCCCACTAGTGTATTAGATATTTTCTTATATATTTCTTAGATATTTCTAATATTTCTTGTTGCAAGAAGGATCAGCATTATCAAAATATCCATCCTACCCAATGCAACATACAGATTCAATGCAACCCTCTCTCATCCCCCCCAAAAAAACTGGAGGAAAGATAACTGAAATTCATATGGAATAACAAAGGAATCGTAATAGCATAAGCAATCTTGACAAAGAAGGAAATAAATAAAGGTATGACACTTCCAGATCCTAAGCTATATTATAAAGTCATAGTGATTAAAACAGCCTACTACCAGGACATGAGAGCCCCAAAATAAATCCACATATATGAACAGTTTACGACAAAGGAACCAAAACATGTATTGGACCAAGGATAACTTTTTCTACACATGATTTTGAGACAAGTGGACAACTACATGCAAAAGAATGAAACTAGACCATGATCTCATACCACCCACCAAAATCAAGTCAAAATGGGTCAAAGATTGGGTTGTAAAGCTGAAATAAAATACAGAGAAGAAAACATTAGGCAAAATATTTCATGACATAAGCTTTAGTGATACGTTTAAGGATTCATCTAGAATAGCAAGAAAACAAGACCATAAGCAAAATGAAGTCACCCTCCTGAATCAGAGAAAATATGTGTACAACAAATATTTGACAAAGGATAGATATTTAAAGAACTCATAAAACTCTACCAAAAACAAAATGAATAACCCAATAAAAAATAGGCAAAGAGGGGCCCTCCCTGGTGGCTCAGCGGGTTAAAGCACAGCACTAAGAAGCAAAAGCCACTTGCACATGAGTTTGATCCCCGCCTGCCCCGGAGGTGACCACATGGCGTGGCAGACCTCTCCTGACCCGCCCGCTGCTCCCCTCAGCAGTGTACTTCATCCATCTGCCTGTTCTGCTCCCCACTCCATCTCTGGTGAAGCCTCTCGCCGCCCCTGAGCCTCTGAGCTGTACCCCACTTCTGTATGTGCAAATAAATAAATCTTTAAAAAAAATAGGCAAAAACTAAACAGACATGTCTACAAAGAAGAACCTAAAATAGGAAGCAGGCACGTGAAAAAATTTTCTAAATCAGTTATTATTAGAGGAATGAAAATCAAACTCAACGCGATACCATTTCACTTCTGTGGGAATGGCCCATATGCAAAAGATCAAAACAAGTGCTTTCAAGGATGTGGAGAAATGGGGCCCTCCCACATTGCTGATTGGAATACAGACTTGTTTAATCCTTATGGAAAGCTACATGGAAGTGTTTCAAAACTTTAAAAATGGAGCTGACATTCAAACCACTAATTCATTCTTATGTATCTACCCAAAAATTTCAAAGTCACTTATTCAAAAGTAAACTTGCACTCCCATGTTTATTGCAGTGCTATGTAGTATATAGCTAAGTTCTGGAACCAAATTATGTGCCTCAAAATAAAAATGAGTGGATCAAGTAAGTGTGGTTTGTACATATACATATGCAATCAAATATTATTCAGTGATCAAAAAAGATAAATTAATGCTATTTCTGGCAATACAGATAGAGCTTGAAGGAATGTTAAGTGAAGTACACCAGAAGAAGAAAAATAAATGTACGATGTTGTTACCAATATGTGCAATAAAAGCTAACTAAATTGTCAGATAAAGGCAAATTACAAAACTAATACTTAATAGCTGACTGCAGAACTGAAGCACCAAGTGGGGCTGACGGGAGGAGTAAAAACAAAGAGGAAAGGTAGCCCCATGCCTACGGTGGAATATGGGTGAGTAGATGCTGGATGCACTATGTTCAAAATACCTGCTAAAGGTATCCCAAACGTATCTAAATTAAAAATAAGTACATAAATATATATATATATATTATTTTAAAAAGTTTATTTTTACATCATTTTGTAAATTTTTTTTTTCCATCTCATTTGTAATCCCCACGGGTTTCCCATCACCAAGTCACCCATGTGCCATCACCATAATCCCGTGCATTTCCCTCCCCA